CAATGCCTGAGCACTTCTAGCCAGGCCCTGGTAACAAGGAGTCTGTCAGCCCAGGCTGGCCTGACAGTATCACTCCCACTGGGCTGGGGGCTGCTTTCCTTTAGCCTCTCTCCTATTCCTTTCAGGGCTTTACATTTTCCCTGCTGCCAACTGGGCTTCTCCTGGGAAAATTGCAGGGAGGAAAGAACTGGCTTCATTCCCCTCCCATCTCTGAGGCTAGTATTTCTCAGGGGGTGGGAGGGGGCAGGCTAGCTCCTCATTGGGGGCTGAGAGGCTGGGTCACGAGATCAGTAGTGAGGGAGAATTCACATTCCCCTTCGAGCTCCCTTCCTGCCCTCCTCTCTTCACGATGTGTGACTTATAAGGGAGGGGCACCAGGGCTAAGTCACCTATGGGGTTCCAGACAGACCTCCGGGCAGGCAGATCTAAGAAGAGTTGTGAGGGTCTGGGAAAGGTCATTTCCTCCCCATTCCACCACACCCTAGAGGAGTTTACAAGAGGATCTGGAGGAAGGACGTTTTGGTGAGGCCGTCCCCGATGTCCTGGGCTGGGGTCTGTGCCAGCTGCTGTTGGCGGCTGGCAGAGGCTGTTCTGTCTGCTCCTGCCAGAGATGAGGAGAGGGCCCCCCTCCTTCCCAAGACGCCTACCATTGAGAACCCTTTGCCAGTGCAGAGCGGGCCGGATGCTCCCTTTGCCAGGGACCCTTACCCAGATATTATCCCCAGCAGTTTAGCCATTAGTGAAGGACTTAGCGCTGTAGAGAGAAGGGTTGTGGGTTCCCTTGGAGTAGAGATGGCTAGTGATGGAAACTTTCAGGTTTTAAGAGTAGATTCAGATGCCTGTCCTGCTGCTGTCCTTCCAGCCGACCTTGAGCCAGGCACCAAGTGGGGGGAGTTAGCCTGTCCTCAGGCCAGTGGAGCAGAGCAGGGCCTTGTGAAACCTGAAGCTAGCAGTGCTGGCTTTAAAGAGGGCAGCTGGGCAGGGTCAGCTGGTGGGGTGGGTCTTGCCAATGAAGCCCCATTCACACATAGCAGCCATGAGTCCCGGAGCTGGGGGCCCACACATAAACTAGAGGCAGAGAGACAAGTTTCTCCTTGGCAGGGTGGATGGGGGGCTCCAGAATCAGATTCAGCATGCACCGGGAGTCCCTACCTCCCCCACGAAGAGCATTCCAGTCCCAGGGGCCCAGGGCCCTGTGGGGATGAGAGCTCTGAACTACTAAAGCAGAAAAAGGAGGAGATGCAGCAGCTGCTGCCATCACCACTGCCGCTGCCTGGACAAGGTGGGTCCAGGGTCAGGAGGGGGTCCTTGTGTCCTTGGGTGACAGGGGGCTGTACCAGAGATTTCTAAGCAGCATAGAGTCACATCCTCTAGCTGTTTTGTAGGGGGTTGAGTGGCCATGTGTATTGAAGGGCACTACCCCATGCCAGCCTCTGATATGTCGATATGTGTGGCTGGAACACGTGCTCTTGGTAGGTGAGGGAGGATCGGATTTCTGTCTTTGGCTAGTCTGCACAAGAAATGTGACCCCGGGCCCCAGTGAAGGGGGCCTCTTCATCTAAAGTTCCTGTGAGTACAGCTTAGGTCCCAAGCCCTTCAGAATGACTGGGACAGCCACCCACCCCTCAGAAACTTGGCCCTTGGAATGCCTTCACAGCTTAGATGTGGTGAAGTTTTGACCTCAAGAACTGGGGGCAGTGTTTTAGAGTGTGTGAGAGACTCTGTGTGTGTGTGTGTGTGTGTGTGTGTGTGTGTGTGTGTGTGCACGCCATGTGTGTATGTGTGCAAGTGTGAATGTGTTTGCATGTCTGTGAATGTACTTGTGGACACACTGCATGTGCGCATGCAGGTGTGTCCCTGTGAGTGTACTGTGCGTATGCACCATCTGTGCTCTGTCAGTATATACGTGCATCTGCATTCTGTGTGTATTCTTGCGCACCATGTATGTGCAAGTGTGTGAGAGTGTCTGTGTGTCACCTCCCATGACTGTGCTTTATTGCTGAAGGGGTGCAGTGCTGAAGCCGGTGTGTCCATGTTTGGGGCACAGACATCATGGTTGTTGGGCAGAAGTTCATTTTCTCCATTCTGTCCTCGTTTTCTGGGTGAGGAAACTGAGGTTGAGCAAAGGGGGGAGAGCTGGGTAGTGTGGCCTTCCAGAAGGCTTCTTGGAGTTTGCTGTTGTTTCACAGTTTGGAGATTTTCTTATCGTCCAAGTTCTGAGGTCTGTTCTGAATGTCACAGGAGAGCCGAGGGCTTGCCTCGGAGATGGCCCCAGTCAGCATCGCTCAGGTTTACAGAGCAGAGGCTTACATGGGCCCTCGGTCCCATTTTGTGGCAGAGCTGGAGGGCCCTGGCTTTCTGCTGCTGAGCCCAGTGCCCTTCCCGCTGTCCTGAGCTGATGTGCCCAGCACCCAAGTTTAGGGCCTCAGGCCTCAGAAGATTCTTTGGCCCCTGCCATGCCAGGCCACACCAGGCCACGGCCAGCTTCTCTCTCTTGCTCCCCTAGTCTTGGGTAGAAAGGAGCCATGCCCCACCCTTGGGCTAGGTAAAGAGCCATGTCTTGTTCCGTCCCTTGGGTGGTTTCTTGTGGCCTTTCACATTCAGGAAGTGGAAGGTTAGCTAGACCACTGGCTATTTCCAGAATACCCACCCATCTGCTGTGGCTGTTTGTCCTGGACCTTGGTTTCAGGCATCTGGGCTGGAGCCTGCAGGTAGCTCTGCTGCTGTCTTCAGAGATCAGCCCCACGAGGGGATTCCCCTGGTGTAAACCTGGTCAGTGTGTCAGATGCTGTCGAGCTCCCCCCTCTCCATTCCTGTGTGTGATGCCTGGAAGAGGGAGGGGGTCATCTTGTCACCCCACCCCCATTCTTTGTTGGGGGGTGGCTTTTGGACTCTGTATCTCTGTCTCCCTGTGGGTGGGGAGTGTCTCTGCATCTCTTGTCTGTCTCTTCCTCTGCTCCCCCACCAGGAATTGAGCCTGCTGTGTTCATATGGCTGACTCGCTGTCTTGCTACATTTGGCTCTGTCTGCCTCAGTTTCTGTGTTTTGTTCCCAACTTTGGCAGGGGGTGACTGGGGAAAAGGTGGCTTCGTACTGACACATGCTTGCTGTCTGCTCAGATGAGCAGATTTTCAGGATTGAGAGGGTCTGCTTTTAGACTGAGGCCTTGGGACCCGTCCTCCCCAAGCTCCCCTGTATGCTGGCCTCAGGGAAGAGAGAGCAGGGGCCAGACCCCTTGGCCTTGCTTCGAGGACCAGAGAAAGAAGGGGATGTTGGTGTCATTCTGCCCACGTCCTCACTGCGCAGAGGCCAGAGAAAGGGAGTGAGGTGGTCACCTGGTGGAGCTGGGTCAAGCATCCAGCGGCTCCTTCTACTCCCGAGCTGGTCGGGGTGGGGTGTGTGTGTGGGGGGGCACCTTCCAGTCCAGGCCTCCCAGCCAGGAGACCAGGGTTCAGATCTCACCTCTGTTCCTCATTGTCTGTGGAGGCACAGGCAGATGTGACTTCTTGGCCTCAGCTGCCTCTGTAAAATGGGAGAGGTGGACTAGATAACTAAGGGTTTCTCCCAGCTCATTGGCTGATTCAGGTGAGTCCGCCATATTAGAAATGACAGACAACAGGCAGGCAGGTCCTGAGTCCCAGGATCACATCTCGCCCTGGAGGATAAGTTTGGGCCATGATAAGTTCCCCTCAGTGGAGGCAGAGGCAGCTAGATGCCAGTTTGTGTGCTTGGCCTCCCTCTATGCCAGGCATGCTGCCCACTAGTAGGGGGCTTCTGCCATCATCTGCCCATCCTCAGGGAAGTCCTTCTAGAGCTGGGCCTGTTGGAATCTTTTCCTCTTCCCCCTGCATGACTCCCAGCACAAGCTCAAAGTCTCAGCCCCAGGGAAGAAGGATCAATTGATAGCAGACCCTGGGTAGGAGCTTGAGCCCTGGGCCACAGCCTGGGTGGATGGCAGTGGATGGTGAGTGGACTGCTCACCAGGCTGGGCATATCGCTGCTGTCCCAAGGAGCCCAGGGGGACAGCAGAAACAGGGACACTGAGTATTGAACACAAACAGATGGCCAGACTTGGGGTGTGGGCTGTGCTGAGGTCTCATGCCTGCCCAGGCCGGGTGCCAGACAGGAAGGGCGCCTCTTTGGGCCTGAGGAGCCAGGGCAGGGAGGCAGTACCTCCAGGAGGAATGGACCTTGTTCTGGTTCAGTCAACCAGGCCCTTCCTTCCCTGGAAGCAGAGGCAGCTGGTCCATTTAGGTGGGCCAAAGAGAGTTCTCTGAGCTTCCTTTATTGAGACTGGAGGTTCCTTGAGGGCAGGGACCATCAACGCTGGCAGATGAGTGTCTTAGAGGCACCCTCATGCAGTCCTCTCCTTTTACTTTGCGATTTCATTTCTTTCTTTCTTTTTTTTTTTTTTTTTTTTTTTTGGTGAGGGCAATTGGGGTTAAGCGACTTGCCCAGTCACACAGCTAGGGAGTGTTATGTGTCTGAGGCTGGATTTGAACTCAGGTCCTCCTGGCTCCAGGGCGGGTGCTCTGTCCACTGTGCCACCCAGCTGCCCCGTGTGATTTCATTTCTAATGTCAACTCCCCTGGTGCCGGCGACTTTGGATTCAACAGGAAAAAAAAAGGGGATTGTAAACAATTTCTTAGAAATATGTTGAACTCATAATGTAAGGTCTCCTTGATGGGGGTCTCCAGAACCATGAGAATGATGGGCTCAGGGCGGGGGTGGGGTGGGGTGTGGTGCGCACAGCCAGATTCCACTCCCCCTCACTTAATGGTTCCCATGGTCCTCTTTCTTGAGGAGTATCTCATTGGACCTCTTGGGTGTGAGGGGTGTAAGGGAAGCAAGAGTGTATGGGAGCAGCAGAGGCCTGGCCTGGGCTCCTGGAGGATGTCTCTAGCATGGTTGCAGGGTCAGGGAGTCCTCAGCCCTTGTTGAGCCAGAAGGCTAGTGTGGGACCCTGCTCCCCTCTGAGCTGTTCTCTTCTCCAATCTCAGAGCTCCCGGCAGTCATGCTGCTGAACGGGGACTGTCTGGACAAGAAGAGTGAGGAGCCCCGGGAGAATGGGTACCAGGAAGCCGAGGCCGGCGACGAGGCCAGCGGGCAGGAGGTCATCGTCATCCAGGACACTGGCTTCACTGTCAAGATCTTGGTCCCAGGGATTGAGGCTTTCTCATTGCAGGTGAGTAGGAGCTTGAATTAGGGGGTGCTCGAGGAAGCGGGGAAGGTGGGGCGAGGCAGTTTGGCCTAGCAGATCGAGGGTTTCAATTGGGGTCTGAGGATCTGTGTTCGGATCCCACCTCCAGCACCTAGTACCTGTGTGACTTGGGACAAGTCACAGCCCTTCCCCATCTCTCCCTCCAGCCCTCAATTGAGGATCCCGTGGTCCTACTTCAGGTTTGAATATCTTCTGAGCTTTATGGTCTGTGATTGTGGGAAAAGCTATCTGACCTTGGACCCTCAGCTTCCTCATCTTTAAATACTAATTCTTGTACAGTATACATATTTGTTGGGGGAACTTTTTTCCAGTTTTCTTTATTCACATTTTTTGTTTTTATCTCACTTTAATTTATCTACCACTCCCTATCACCACCACGCTACCCCCACCCTCCAGCCCCATGTCCAGCCCAGGAGAACATTCCAGGCAAGGGGTAAAGTCTGTGCAGACGAGATGAAATGTGTGTACCCATGGTTATAGAAGGAAGAAAAGTTAAGCCAAATGAACTTTTCTATCCCCTCTGTATGACAGGTGTGTTTAACATTCCACACTCATAACCCCCACCTCTGCAAAGTTGGGGAGAGGTCGCAGATAACATTCTGTGACAGTTGGAACATAGGAAATTCCCATGCTGGGGGTGGTTGTCAGAAGCCTGAGATGGGGAAAAACTAACTAGCTGCACATTTTCAAGATGGCTCTGGTTGTGGAATAGAATTTGAAGAAAGCGTTTTTAACTCTTAAAGCTCCGTATGAAAGAGTTATCAGATGGGCACAGGTGCTTGGCAGGAGGTATGGGCATCCAGTGCTTGCCCTTCTGGTCTTGTCATCCTGGAGGCTCCTAGACACTCAGAATACCAGAGCCAAAGGGGGATTTTGGGGGCCTTCTCGTTAAGCCCCAGTTGTCTGCTCCAAGGCTGGCATTGCCACCCTCCCCAACTCATAGGGTGTCCCTGGCCTCCAGAGGTGGAGGGAGCAGTGGGGGAGAGAAGAGGAGACTGTGGTTCCCCACAGAGGCTGCAGGCTCTCACTAAGGTGGTAGGGGATCTTTGTGAACTGCAAGGGGTGTGACCTTGGGCAAGGAACATCTCCCTGGGGCTCTGTCCCCATTTGGGAAAGGTGGCAGTTGAAGTAGAAGGTCTGTCGTGCCTTTGTTCCAGTTCTGAACATTTATGTTCTTGTGTAAGTTTGCTTGGGGGGGAGGGGGAGTGGGAGTGTACCCTGTCCCCACCCCACCCCCCAGTTTTGTACTTGGTATCATCCTCTCCCTATCCCTGTTGAAGGCTCTCTTGTCACTTGGGCTCTGACCCTGTTCCTGGGGAGGGGAGGTGACCAAGGCCACATCTTGAGGCTGCTGCTGCTGCGGGAGCACCTTGGGCCTAGACCCGTCCCTGCAGAGCTGCCTGCACTCTGGGCTCTGCTCCAGGCAGCAGCAGGAGGAGGGAGCTGGCTGCCGTGGGGGCCCCGCCTCAGTTGAGGGGGGAAGGGGGTTTGGATGGTTAGAGGAAAACACCAAGACAAATGATAAAATTCTCTTCCTTCCCTCCCTCTGTGCTTTACACACCTGAAGTAAAGGCAGTAGGAGCATCCATGTGGGCTTCTGGGAGGAGGAGTCAGGCAGGGCCCCTCCCTGGTGGCGGGAAAGACCAAATCTCTTTTGGGATCTAGCTTAGATCCCCCCACAACCTTGTTTGCCCTTGAGCTCTTCCTCTCTCTAGCCCTCCCCTGCCCCTGCAATTTTTTTTTGTTTTTGTTTTTGTTTTTGTTTTTGTTTTTGTTTTTTTTTTCCCTGCAATTCTTGTGGGCTCTTCTTAGTTACTGTACTTCCTTTCATGTGTGTGTTTTTCCTGCCCCAGTCCATTCTGGAGAAGCCAAGCTGGACTGAGCAGGCATAGAGCCAGAGGAGAAGCAGTCTTGGTGTGGGGGAAGGACCCCATGCCGGCCCTTAGTTGACTGAGTAACCTTAGGGAAGTCCTCAGAGCCTTTGTTTCCTTATGTACAATGTACATCATCTGATCATGGAATTGTGTTGTATGTGGCAAGTGAGGTTATGAATTTAATAAAGTCCTTTGTAAGCTAACCTTTTTTTCCCCCAAGAATATTTTTATTTTGTTTTTTTTTTCTTCAATTACATGTAAACCAATTTTCAACATTGGTGTTTTTTGTTTTTGTTTTTGGGGAGGTAATCAGGGTTAAGTGACTTGCCAGAGTCACACGGGTAGTAATGGTCAAGTGTCTGAGGCCAGATTTAAACTCAGGTCCTCCTGACTCCAGGGCTTCATCCACTGCACCACCTAACTGCTCCTTTAACATTCATGTTTTGTTGTGTCTTTTTGTTTGTTTGTTTTTTATAAATTTTGAGTTCCAAGCTCCCTTTCTCCCTCCTTCCTTTCCCTTCCCCTCTCCTTGAGAAGGCAAGATTGTGCATGCACAGTCACGCAAAACATTTCCATATTAGCCATGTTAAAAAAGAGAACATGGACTAAAAAAATACCCAAGAAAAATTATTAAAAGTATGCTTCAGCCTTCATTCCAACTCCATCAGTTCTTTCTGGTAGGTAGAGAGCATCTTTCATCATAAGTCCTTCAGGATTGTCTTGGATCATTGTATTGATCAGAATAGTTAAGTTATTCACAATTGATCATCATACAGTGTTGCTATTACTATGTACAGTATTCTTCTGACTCTTCTCATTTCACTTTGCATCAGTTCATGTATCAGTCTTCCCCAGATTTTTTCTGACACCTTCCTGTTCACTTCCTATAGTAGGATAGTATTCCATTGTAATCACATGCTCCAACTTGTTTGGCCATTCTCCAGTTGATGGGCATCCTCTAGATTTCCAATTCTTTGCCACCACAAAAAGATCTGCTATAAATATTTTTGTCCAAATAGTTTTTTTTCTTAATCCCTATGGAATACAAACCTAGAAATGGAATTGTTGCGTCAAAGGGTATGCACAGTGTTATAGCCCTTTGTGCATGGTTCCAAATTGCTCTCCAGAATGGTTGGATCAGATCATAACTCCACCAACAATGCATTAGTGTCCTAATTTTTTCACGTCCCCTCCAACATTTGTCATTTTCCTTTTCTGTCATATTAGCCAGTCTGATAGGTGTGAGGTGGTACCTCAGTGATGTTTTAATTTGCGTTTCTCTAGTCAGTAATGATTTAGAGTATTTTTTCATGTGACTGTAGATAATTTTGATTTCTTCTGAAAACTGCTTCATATCCTTTGACCATTTATCAATTGGGAAATGACTTGTATTCTTTTTTTTTTTAATTTTTAATTGATCTATTTTGAATTATCAACATCACTTCCATAAGCTTTTGAGTTTTAAATTTTCTCTTCCTTCATTCCCACCTCCCTTCCCAAGATGGCACTCAATCTGATATAGACTATACATATACATTCCTATTAAACATATTTTCACATTAGTGATGTTGTAAGGAAGAATTAGAAGCAATAGGAGGAACCACCAGAAAGAAACAAAACAAAACAGAAGAAAAAAATAGCAAAGAGTATGCTTTCATCTGCATTCCAAACTCCATAATTCTTTCTCTGGATGTGGATAACATTTTCCATCATGAGGCCTTTGGAGCTGTCTTAGGTCCTTGTATTGCTGAGAAGAGCTAAGTCTATCAACGTTAGTCATCGCACACCGTGGCTGTTACTGTGTGCAGTGTTCTTCTGGTTCTGCTCACTTCACTCAGCATCAGACCATACAAATGACTTGTATTCTTATAAATTTGACTTGTTTTCTATATATTTGAGGACTGAGGCCTTTATCAGAGAAACCTGCTATAAATTTTTCCCCAGTTTCCTACTTTTCTTCTAATCTTGGCTGCATTGGTTTGTTTGTGCAAGAACTTTTTAATTTAACGTAATCAAAATTATGTGTAAACTTAACATTTGATAGAAATAAGTCACTAGCGTTCTTTGTCTCATGTGTGCACACTTATGTATGTAATAATGCCCATTCAATTGAATTGTTGAATTTGTGGAGCAGAATAGATGTCCAGTAATTATTTGCATATTGACACTTCCCCTCGGGTTAGAAAAGGCATAGATTATGGAAGTCAGACCCAAACACAGATTGTCGTTGTATTTTTCCCCTGGAAGTGTGGTTGGGGTCCAGGTCCTCAGACTGGGAATCAGGGAGCTATCTTGCCCTCTCCCCCACTACCCCCACCAAGGGAGGTTCTTGATCCTATGTCCGGGTTGGGGATCAGGACCGGAGACTTCTTTTTGCCTTGGGGATGGCTCTCCAGACCATGGGGGAACTGGGAAGGCTCTCACACTCAGGTCGGGGCCTCTCTTGTACAGGTTTCTCCCCAAGAGATGGTCCAGGAGATCCACCAGGTGCTGATGGATCGGGAGGACACCTGCCACCGCACATGCTTCTCTTTGCAACTGGATGGCAACGTGCTGGACAACTTCTCAGAGCTGCGGACCATTGAGGGGCTGGAGGAAGGCTCTGTGCTGCGAGTGGTGGAAGGTCAGAGAAAAGGGTCACTTTTCATCCATGTGGATCCTTTCAAGCAGAAGGGGGGGTAAGGGGTGGGAGCTGGGGGCGTAGCTAATATGTTAGTGATCAAACCAAGGTCCTCAAAGGATCAGAGTCAGCTGAAACTGAGATAAATAATACTGTAAACATCTCAACATTGGTTCAAAAAATAATTAGTGTGCTACCAGATTGGATTGTTCTGGCTAGAAGACAGCATGTGGGAAGGCCATGGGGCTCTGTCTGAGTCAGCAGCTAGCTGGTAGCTGAAGAAGTTTCATTTCTTTAATGGCCTCAAAGGTTCTGACTCTAGGGGGCTGCCGTGGGACCCAGGTCTCATGCTGGAGTGGAGGTGACGCTTTTGCTGTATTTCCCCCACCAAGAAGAGTGAATTGTTCCTTGTCATCTCTCTTTGCCGGGGTTTAGACCAGAGGTGGAGACCCCACCTCTGTCTCCATATGGATTTAGAGATGGAAAGTGGGGAAAGTAAGGTTTCCTTCAAGCCTTCTACCTCCCACGTCTCTGGAAGTAGTCCTTTGCATTCCCCTCTAGGTCTCGTATTTTACCTCCTGTCTCCTTTTCTTCTGTTCCCATTCCTGCCTGAGGGTCGGGGGTCAGAACTTAACCAGGCTTTCCCGCATTTGGTCAGAGTGCTGGGTACAATAGCTGCCTTCCAGTTCTTTGAAGTTCTGTAGGGTTAGGCCTGGATTAGAGTCCTAGCTTGCTGCCTCCTAGCTAGCTGTGTGGTCTTGGGCCAGGTGCTGAGCTCCCCAGGCCAGGCTATCACCGCCTCTCAGATGGGGACTACGCTTCCTGCCCAGCTTTGCCTCTCCTCCTGTAGAATCTCATCTCCCTGACCTGCAGGCATGCCTGGCCTCCTATTTCAGAATGCTGGAGGATGTCAGTGAAGAGTCAGGAGATGTTTGAGTTTTTTCCCCCACTGTAACTTTCTGCTGCATAACCTGATTGTTGCTCTGAGGTCCTAATCTATGCTTGCTCACTGGCCTCACCAGGAAGGCCAGTCACCGTGCCCCCAGTCCCTACATGTATGATAGATGCCCTAGCCTCTTGCTTCCCTGGGAAGGTAGAGACCACTGGGTGGGAGCTGCCTTCCTCCTCTTTGTCCACCCCTGAGATTCTGGTTTTTTTTGATGTCCTTAGAGTGTTGAAACAAGTTTTTCTGTTCCCTGCGAGGACCATCCTCATGTATCTCCTGCTTCCAGCTGCAGGCTTCCCCCACAGTCCCTCCCCCGTCTTGGACTTCTTCAGCCTTAATTTCTCCATTGGCTCCTTTCTCTCTCTTTACTCCATTACCAGCCCGGCTTCCTCAGAAGGCTTCCCTGAGTCCTTTGGCCCCATGCAGCTGTCTCCATCTCTCCTCCCCTTCATGGCCATGCTTCTTGCACAATTCAGTTTCGGGTCTCTTTCCAGCCTCATTTTGTCTTCCTCCTTTTTGCACACTGCTTTGCAGGCAGATGGGCCTCTAGGCTGGTCCTGGGTCCAACATGCCACCCACTAGTAGGAGAGGAGCTTTCCATTCAGTTTTTGGGGATCCAGCGCTAGGGACGGTGCCTCACCTTTAGTAAACATCGGTGCTGGATTCGAATCTTCAGTCTTGGCCCTCTGGTTTCTGCCTGGCCACCTGAGAGATCCTGTTTTCAGAGGTCACTTGTGATCCCCTCGTCCAGCCCTTGGGTCCTTTGTAGGACTCCTTGGTTTCTCTGGAGTATTTGACACAGTCAGACAATTTCCCCCCTCTCCTTGGCTTTTCTTTTTGTTTTGTTTTGTTTTTTTTTGTTTTAGGTAATTGGGGTTAAGTGACTTGCCCAGAGTCACACAGCTAGTAAGTGTCAAGTGTTTGGTCTGAGGCTGGATTTGAACTCAGGTCCTCCTGACTTCAGGGCTGGTGCTGTATCCACTGCGCCACCTAGCTGCTCCCTTTTCCTTGGCTTTTCTATCCTCATGTCCTGCTCTCTTCTGGCTCCTTTCCATAGAATAACGACTAAAACCCTGGCTTGGTGTCATGGGACTTGGATTCAAATGCTGGCTCTGCCACTTCTACACTTCTACATGTGGTACCTTGTGCAAGGCCTCAGTTTCCTCATCTGTAAAATGAGGGGATTAGACCTGAGGGCATCTGAGATGGGTTTCATGATCATCAGCCCTGAAAGATAGATGTTCCCTCAGGCTCTACCCTCCCCGCCCCCCTTCCCTGAGGAGCCTCATTCCTTCCTATGCTTTCAACCTTTCCACAGACCCCCACCATCCCACCCACTTTCCCAAACAGCCTATTTCCTGCCTTCCCATCACTTTGGCAGTTGAGAAATGCACATGTCTCCAAGAGTGGCTCTTAGGGTTTGGGATGTTATGTTGTTACAGATGAAAGCCGATTTATAAGTAATTTTATTTAATACACATTTTACTCACCCATCATACCCAGCATGATTAGTAATAAAGCCTGCCAATTAAGTGCACTCATCCCCCAGACCCTGGGCTCAGACCCTGGTGGCACCACCTCCCATAGGCAGCGTGTTGCAGCGAGGCCTGGAACATTCAGAGCCCCTCTCTCAGGACGTCCCACGGAAGCATGGTTACAAATGTTCCAAACTCATCCTGTTCTTCCCCCCGGGCCAGTCAGCTCTGTACCTGTCTCAGGCACAGGCCCCTGGCCTCTCTCTCCGCATGGAAGCTGGTGCCAAGCTCCAGCAGCTCTGCCTGCTCGGCCTCTCTGGACCACACCCCTTGTCCTCTCCTCCTGCCCACCATCCCCAGACTGTTCACAGAGCCCCATTCCTCAGAAGTCTTTCAGGGGTGGTGGCCAGAGTGCTAGCCTTGTAATTGGGGGATGGGGGCTCTAATGCCAGCTCAATTGTTTAACCAGCTGTGTGACCTTGGTTGGGCAAGGCCTCAGTTTCCTCATTTATAAAATTGAGAGGTTTGGACTAGCTGACGTCAGAGGCCCTATCTAGCTCCACCTGAAGTGTCTTTGTGGCCAATCCTGGGCTGGGCAGTGGTTTCTCTGTCCTTTTCTGTGCTCCTAGGCCTTTCCTGGCTCCTTTTGGTCTGTGGGGTCCAATTCTGCCTCAGGCCAGTAGTCAGGGCCTCCCTTGAGCAGATTCTGGCCTTCCCCCTGCCCTGGGCAATCCCTTGGGCTGGAAGGATATCCCTTCTCTTCCCTCACCCCACCAGGGAATAATGACCTTTCCTTGGCCTTTGTATAACACTGTTTCTGCTCTTTTATCATACATTACAATACAACAGACATTTAGGAACTGGGCTAAGCATGCTGCCAGAGGAGACAGTGCTGTCTACACTGTCTCTTGCCCAGGGCATGGCTGCACTCTGCACGCAGTGCTTTGGTCAAGTTGAACTGAGGCTTGTGGGAAGGGCCTTGAGCAGGCTCCAGGGTGGGCAGGGCTGGGTGCCTTGTGGCAGCCAGGCCTGCCTGCTCGTCATCACACCATCACCTGTGAAGCGAGGAGGTCAGACCCATGACCCCTGAGGCCTGGCCTCGCTCTGCATTTGTGCTATGATCCTGTGACTTTGGCCTACCTGTGATGTGCCCTCGCTTCTTACCCAGAGCCGTATACGGTACGGGAAGCCCGAATCCACGTGCGCCACATCCGAGACCTTTTGAAAAGCCTGGATCCCTCAGATGCCTTCAACGGGGTAGACTGCAACTCCCTCTCCTTCCTCAGCGTCTTCACAGACGGCGACCTAGGAGGTACCCATCCCCATGGCTCCCCGGGGGTCCTCACCTCACATCCTCCTGGGGCTCCCAGCACTCTTGCCCTTCAGGGGCCCCTGCCTGGGCCTGAGGACTCTGTGTGTGTGTATGTGGGTGGGGGGAGACGACAGAAGAGCTTGGCCTCCTCTGCACGTGGGAGTGGGGGGACATGTCCCGTCCTCATGGCCAAGCCCCGCTTTGTCTCCCGATGAAACCTCCAGAGGCCTCAGATGGGCGGCTCGTCTGACTGGGCTGGCTTTTTTGCCTCTTCAGACAGTGGGAAGAGGAAGAAGAAGGGTGTTGAAATGGAGCCCATTGACTGCACGCCACCTGAGCACATCTTGCCTGGGAGCAGGGAGCGGCCGCTGTGCGCTCTGCAACCCCAGAACCGGGACTGGAAGGTGAGGCTGTCCAGGGCAGCCCCGGCTCCCACTGAGGGAACTCGGGCAGCAGCCTTCCCACTCCCCCACAGCCTGGACTCTTTAAGCTCAGCACTGAATAGGTCTGACTGCAGACTGCCCCTGTGGTGTTTGGGTTTTTACCTTTTTGGTGAGGCAGTGGGGTTAAGTGACTTGCCCAGGGTCACACAGCTAGTAAGTGTCAAGTGTCTGAGCCCTGACTCCAAGGCCGGAGCTCTATCCACTGTGCTACCCAGCTGCCCTGACTGCCCCTGTTCACATACACCCTGGTCCCCACAGCCCCTGCAGTGTCTAAAAGTGCTCACCATGAGCGGTTGGAACCCCCCACCTGGGAACCGCAAGATGCACGGGGATCTCATGTACCTCTTTGTGATCACGGCTGAAGACCGCCACGTTAGCATCACGGCCTCCACGCGGGGCTTTTATCTGAACCAGTGAGTGTTCCCCTTGTCCGCTCGGCACAGCCCAGCTCAGAAGCTCTCCCCGCCCCTCCTCCTCCTCCTCCCCCATTCCCGCCTCATCAGACCCTTAGCTCGGGGCCATCTCGGCATGGTTTCTGGGCCCTGATGACAGGGTTGGGGGCATGACCAGCCTGTGACCCCAGATGTTGCCTCGGCAGGTCCACGGCGTATAACTTCAACCCCAAACCCGCCAGTCCCCGATTCCTGAGCCATTCCTTGGTGGAGCTGCTCAACCAAATTAGTCCAACCTTCAAAAAAAACTTTGCTCTCCTGCAGAAGAAAAGGTAGGGTCCCTGCCTGCTTGGCCCTCCCCTCCCCCAGCTCTTCTCAGCCAGGCCCTAAGCTGGAGGGGCCAGCCCCATCCTCGTCCTCGTCCACAGCTGCTTCCCCTCTTCTCAGACCAGAAGGTGGGGCACAGTGACAGGGTGGACCTGGAGCTCACGTGGGGTACATTGGAGCCCTCCAGGAAGGGTTCTGCCCATCCGAGGCATTAGGGGTTCATTGCCTTGCATTGTGACTGCTGAGCCCGTCTGGACTGAGGGCACTTGAGGGCTTATTTTTACCTTCCTGGGTCTTGCTAGGGCCTGGAGAGGACAGTCTGGGGACAGGCAAGGGGAGAAAAGAGACAGTTTTGGAGAGCGGTCCAGCACAGGGAAGGCCAGAGGGGAGAGGGGTGTTAGGAATAACCTCGCTACGGTTTGCCGAAGGCTGTCCTGACTCATTTTATGTGCTGGAGTTGGAGGAGGCATATGTGGTGCTGAGGATATGCGGTGTGTGCCCCGGATGTAGGGTCCAGCGCCATCCTTTCGAGAGGATCGCAACCCCGTTCCAGGTTTACAGCTGGACAGCCCCCCAGGTGGAGCACGCCATGGACTGTGTGCGGGCTGAGGATGCCTACACATCCCGGCTGGGCTACGAAGAGCACATCCCTGGACAGGTGCCCTGCCAGCCCCCCCTTCCCTCAGCCTCTTAGCTACTTCTCCGAAGACCTTCACTTTCATGCTTGTCCTCTGTGCACCCCCCTCCTATGCAAAGGGAGGGGTGAGGAGGGAGGGACAGGGGGCTCAGGACAGCGACCCCTCACCTTGCCTAGGGGTAAGCACTGATGTCTTGTGAGCCGATGGAGGCGAGGGAAGGGAGCTCCCTAAGCCTGGCCTCGGGGAGCTGCAAGCTGTGTCCGGAGCTCTCTGACCTTCCGTGGGCTGTGGCCTTTCCTCAGACGCGAGACTGGAACGAGGAGCTGCAGACAACAAGGGAGCTTCCCCGCAAGAACCTTCCTGAGCGGCTGCTGAGGGAGCGCGCCATCTTTAAGGTGTGCGGAGGAGGGTTGGGAGTGCTCGTGTTCCTTGGCCTTGGCAGGATCACTAGGGGCTGGTGGGGGGGCTGCTTGCACCCTTGTTGGGTGCTCTGGGGGGCCCTTGGTATTCCTCGGCTCTTTGAATCTCTGATAAACTAGGACCTTATTGGGAAGGTTTGGGGAACAGAGTGTGTCTGACCATCTCCCTCTCCACCCCCTGACTTTCCATCTCACCCACCCCACTCTTCTTTGCTGCTGACTGAGGCCAGCTCATGGTGTGAGAGTTAGAGGAGCCTTTAGCTGTCTAGGTCCATCTTCATCTCAAGTTGTGGAAATTGAGGCACAGACAAGAGGAGGGAGTTGGCCCAGGTCATCTTGGTAGTTGAAGCGTGGCTAGAGCAGGACACCTGGGTACCTCTGACCCCGTCACTCCCATTCTCCAAAAGTTCTGATAGCTCTGCCTGTCTCTTGGAAAAACTACAACCTTCTGACCTTCTGTGTCCCTTCACACCATGGCTCCAGCCTTCCTTTCTGGCGTGATTGTACACAGATATCTTGCGTCCTCTCTACGTTGCCGTTTCCTCCCCATGGCGTTATACTTTCACCTTTGTACCTTCACATGGGCTCTCCCCCTGCGCCTTGAATGTGCTGGGGCCTCGCCTCGGTCACTTGGCACCTGTGGCTGCTGTCTTCGAGGCCTTTTCTGAGGCCTGTCTCTCCGCCTTCCTGCCTGTAGCACTCTGTAGTTACTCACTGACGTTTTGTATATTAATGTTGGGGGCCGTTTCCCCACTAGGATGCAATCTTCTTGGGGATAGAGACCATTTTTATGTTAGCACTGTGCTTGACCACCTCTGGTAGGCTTCTTACCTTGGGGCTGAGGATAGATTTCAGGAAATTTGTGAACTTGGGTGGGGAAAAAATGACCCCTGTATTTCAGCCTAATCAGTTTTCTTTTGCAGTCCCGTGCATTTGGTTTTACGGGTTTAAAAGCATTCCTCTGAGAAGGGATCCGTCCCCTGGGCTTCACCAGGATGATGCCGAGGGGTGGGGTCTGTGACACAAAGAAAGTGAAGACCCCTGAACAAATGCCAGACTGTCTCAGTAAGGGGGTCCCCTTGCCCAATAGGTCCATAGTGACTTCACAGCAGCGGCCACCCGGGGGGCCATGGCGGTCATTGATGGCAATGTCATGGCTATCAACCCCAGCGAGGAGACCAAGATGCAGATGTTCATCTGGAACAACATCTTCTTCAGTCTGGGCTTTGATGTCCGAGACCACTACAAGGACTTCGGTGGGGACGTGGCTGCCTACGTGGCCCCCACCAATGACCTGAACGGGGTGCGTACGTACAACGCGGTTGACGTCGAGGGCCTCTACACCCTGGGCACGGTGGTGGTAGACTACCGAGGGTACCGCGTCACGGCCCAGTCCATCATCCCCGGCATCCTGGAGCGGGAGCAGGAGCAGAGTGTCATCTACGGCTCTATCGACTTTGGCAAGACAGTGGTGTCGCACCCGCGCTACCTGGAGCTCCTGGAGAAGACGAGCCGGCCTCTGAAAATCCAGCGGCACCGAGTGCTCAATGACCGTGAGGAGGAGGTGGAGCTGTGCTCTTCCGTGGAGTGCAAAGGCATCATCGGCAACGACGGCCGGCACTACATCCTGGACCTGCTGCGCACCTTCCCCCCTGACCTCAACTTCTTGCCCGTGGCTGGCGAGGAGCTGCCTGAGGAGTGCCGGCGGGCCGGCTTCCCCAAGCCTCACCGCCACAAGCTCTGCTGTCTGCGCCAGGAGCTGGTGGACGCCTTTGTGGAGCACAGGTGAGTCTGGAGATATTTACATGTTTACCCTCCCCTGGACAGGGCTGATGACCATGGAGGGGGGTAGAAGGGTGGGGGAGTGGGGGGGGGGGGGTTTCTCATCCACTAGATTGGCTTGCAGAGCGCCAGCCCTGCCCTTCCCACTTGTGTCTGTGTCTGCGTGACGTGGCAGACAGTGTGGAGGACCTGGGCTCAGGCCCAGCTGCTCCGCCTGTGGGACCCGAGGCTGCAGCCACTTCCTGGGCTGAGGTGCATGGTCTAGAGGAGGGGGAGGAGGAAAAGGGGGGATCGGTCCTAGAGCTCTGTGTTGGCACTCTCCTCCGTCCCTGGGGCTGAGGCTGGCTGGGGCATGGGAGGCCTTCTGGCCTAAGCCCCAGGGGCCTGCTCCTCTAGGTACCTCCTCTTCATGAAACTGGCAGCCATTCAGCTCATGCAGCAGAAGGCCAAGAGGGTCGAGAGCCCGGGCCCTCTGGAGAACGGTACTTCTGAGGCCGGGGCTTCAGAGACGCCAGAGGCCATGGAGGCTGCAGGGGAGGAAGGGGCCAGTGGCCTAGCCAAGGTGAAGGAGCTCGCAGAGACCATCGCCTCTGACAATGGCCCAGGTAGGGCTGGGCTGGGAGGGAGCTCGACACTGATTAAGCGCCTGCTGTGTGCAGAGGACCGCCCTCAAGGCACCTCCCTTTGCCTATGCTCCTTTCTGCTTTGTGGCGTCAGGTTCATGAGCCTTCAGAATCCTCTTGATTGTCTCTGGCTGGGGCTTTGGGACAGGATCTTGACGTGATCTTCTCTTACATCTAGGGATGTGATTCATCTAGGGGCTAATGAGTTTATGGTCACTGAGTCCATCTCCTAGTTCATTTTACTCAGCCCTTTTGGGTACATCTTTATCACTTTCTAGTGACCCCAACTCCTCCAGAGTCAGAGCTAAGCAAAAGGGATAATCGTGCTGGCTGTGCCCCCTCAGTGTCTCAGCCACCACCTCTGTGAGGGCGTTTTGCTTCACCAACAATAGTCTTCAGGCCATGTCCCAAATCTGGCTGGCTCTCCCGCTCCCCATTGGCTGCTGTTAGAGGGGATGCTGAGTGAAGAGTGGTCATCTGACCTGAATGCAGCACATTGCTGCTGCTGGTGCCGTGGCCCTGATGACCAGGCCGAGGTGGTGGGGCTTGCTGCAGGGACGAGGGTAGAGCCTCTCCGCCACCCCAGCTGGTATTCCCCCAAGGAAAGCCAAGGTTCTTTGTGCACGTTCTGCCCAGAGGAGGGCGGGTGGGCATTTTTGGTGTCACTACCTGTGAGGTTTGGTGTTTGGAGCTGGGAAACCAGGCCTTGCTACCTAGAAGCGGGGCAAGCCTCTGGGCTTCTTCCTCATCTCCCCATGCCCTTCAATTTTCCCCAGCAGTGGACCCCAAGAGCCGGGAGGTGATTCAGAATGCCTGCAAGGCCGTGGGCTCTGTCAGCAGCACCTCCTTTGACATCCGCTTCAACCCTGACATCTTTTCACCAGGTATGGAGGCCCAGGGCAGTGTGTGTGGGTGGGTAGGAGGTGGTGTTTTGGAGAGGGAGCAGTAGCCTGAAGTCAGCCTTTTGTCACCCCTGACCTATTTGAGGGCTGAGTGCTTACCCCACCCCTACTCCGGCCCCAGTCACCTACCATTTACTGCGGATCGCACCCCATTCCTCTTATCCTGCTCATAGGTGTGAGATTCCCAGAGTCCTGCCAGGATGAAGTTCGGGACCAGAAACAGCTGCTGAAAGACGCCGCTGCCTTCTTGCTGTCCTGCCAGATTCCTGGCCTGGTGAGGAGCTGAGAGTCTGCTTGGGGCCCTTGAGGAAGCTGTCTCAGAGCAGGACACCCCCACCCTGTGCTGGGAGGAGAGGTGCACAGCCTCTCTAAAAAGCCATGGACACAGTGAACTTGAGCCAGTTGAGGAAAGGAAATTTTTTTTTAATAGAAAGCTTTGTATTTTCAGACTTTTCCTTTGTAAATCAATCAAAAGCCATTGTGTATAGTAATAGCTCCCATCCGCATTGTGCCTGACAAGTGGGAGGGGGCCTTCCTCGAAGTGGGATCATTGTGGTTTGCCCCGGTTTGGTGGAGGCAGTGTGGCTCAGTGGAGGGATAACTGGATTTGGAGTCAGAGGGCCTGGACCCGGCTTTGAATCTCACCTTTGCTTTTAGCACCTGGGTGACTTGGACAGGCCATGTCTCTGGGCCTCAGTGTCCTCATCTGTCAAAGTAGAGGGCTGGATTGCACGCTGACCCCTCTGGGGGCTGTCTAACCCAGAAAAATGGCCTTTGGGGAAGGAAGCTCGGTGCCATCATTCATCTTGGGGGGCCCTCGAGGAGGGGCAGTGCAGGGTGCTCAGCACTTGCTTCCCGTCTTGCTGGGCTCTTCTCGGGCAGTTTCCAGGAGAGTCAGGATAGGACAGGTGGCTGTTTTGAAATCTGGATTGAAGAAGCACCAGAAAGGAGAAGGGAGGGTGCTTGGGTTGGGTTGCTTTTGGAGTTTACGGGGCCCCGGTGCCATCCTGATGCCTCTGCCGATGCCCCAGGTGAAAGACTGCACAGACCATACGGTGCTGCCCATGGATGGGGCCACGTTGGCAGAAGCCATGCACCAGCGTGGCATCAACATCCGCTATCTAGGCAAGGTGCTGGACTTTGTGCTCAGGAGCCCCGCCCGACCTCAGCTGGACCACATTTATGTGAGTGGCATGGCAAGGGAGGTTGGAGGGGAAGCAAAGGAGAGACACCCTACAGGGAGCTAACAGCTTGTCTCTCCCCAACCCCTTGCAGAAAATTGGCATCAGTGAGCTCATCACACGGTCTGCCAAGCACATCTTCAAGACATACCTTCAGGTAGCCATGGCCCGGGCCTTCCCAGCTTGCCCCAGGCATCTCCCCTGGAGCTGGCCCAGAACAGAACAGGGGGCCTGGGCCTGGGGCTGGGGCTGGGGCTGGGGCTGGGGCTGGGGTGGGGGTGGGCCTTGGGCCTCATGCCCCGGGGCAGGCCCTGACCTCCAGTGTGCTTGACCCAGGGTGTGGAGCTCTCAGGCCTCTCAGCAGCCATCAGCCACTTCCTCAACTGCTTCCTCAGTTCCTTCCCCAACCCTGTTGCCCACCTCCCTGCTGATGAGCTTGTGTCCAAGAAGAAGAACAAGAGGAGGAAAAACCGGCCCCCAGGAGGGGCCGACAACACGGCCTGGGCTGTCGTGACCCCCCAGGAGCTCTGGAAGGACATCTGCCAGGAGGCCAAGAATTATTTTGATTTCAGCCTTGAGTGGTGAGGGAAGGAGGAGGGGGGAGGTACAGAGTGTGGGAGGAGTGGGGGTGGGGGGTGGCTGGGAGCAAGGCAGGTCGAGGGAATCCCAGGGGCTGTAGTTACACAGGCCAGGGACCTAGGCCTGAGGAGAGCTGTTAGTCTGCCCTGCCCTTTTCTGTCAGGGACAGAGGTCTAGGGACATTCATCTGTTTGGCTCATGAGCACAGATGTGTTCTGGGCACCATGGGAGGTGCTGGGAATATGGCTGTGAAAGAGAGACAGACCCCAGTCCGCAGGAGCCAGAGAAGGCAGGGGGATGCCCCGAGCCGAGCCCGTGCAGTGTGGTGTACGAGAGCCCTTCAAGAGACCTGTAAGGTCCAGTCTGGAGCCAGGTTCTGCCCATGTCCAAGGTCCAGGCCGTAGGCGCGTAGGAAGTGGACTGCAGAGCAGCAGATTGATTCCCTCTCCAGGGAGATTGTGCTCCTGCACCAGTAGATAGAAACCAGGAGCCCTGCCTGCCAAGGGGCTCCAGGGGCAGGTGACGTAGCCACTTCTCAGCACCCCCAGAGCAGCAGCATCCAAGGACCGGGGACCAGGATGCCACCCCCACCCCCCTTGTCCGGGACTTGGCCGGAGCAGGGGGCTGGGGAAGAGGCAGCCACGGGACCCCACCGGGGCTCAGAGGCACTTAACCCTTGCTGTTCCCCAGTGAGACCGTTGACCAGGCTGTGGAAACCTTTGGGCTGCAGAAGATAACCCTCCTCCGGGAGATCTCCCTGAAAACTGGAATCCAGGTGGGTGCAGAGACCTCCCCTGCCCCCCTCAGCCCTGCTTCAGACGGGCCACGTGGAGCTTCTGGCCTGGCTGGGGAGCTGTGAGGCCGCAGGGTTTGTGTGGCCTTGGCATGCTTTTCCTCAGGCCTGGCCAGTGGGGTAGAGGTAGTGACTCTGCAGAGCAGAAAGCCCCTTGGGCTCACCCTCTTCTCCTCCAACACCCCCTCGCTGCCCCCTGCAGATCTTACTGAAAGAATACAGCTTCGACAGCAGGCATAAGCCAGCCTTTACCGAGGAGGACGTCCTCAACATCTTCCCCGTGGTTAAGCACGTCAACCCCAAGGCCTCTGATGCCTTCCACTTCTTCCAGAGTGGCCAGGCCAAAGTGCAGCAGGGTAAATGGGGCCAGCCCAGGCCAGACCGCAGTGGGGAGGAGTGACCGGGAAGGGGGAGGGAGCAGGGAGGGAGGGGGTGGAGGCCACCAGGATCACAGGCCTCTTCCCTGCCAGGGTTCTTGAAGGAAGGCTGTGAGCTCATCACGGAGGCCCTGAACCTTTTCAATAACGTGTATGGGGCCATGCACGTAGAGATCTGTGCCTGCCTCCGCCTCCTAGCCAGGCTTCACTACATCATGGGGGACTATGCAGAGGTGGGTGCTTCTCCCTTACTGGCTGAGTCAGGACCTTGGGGCTTTCCTGCCCCAAAGTGGAGGGTGCGGCTTGACTTCATCAGCAAAGACCTTGGCCAAGATGTGGTGCGAGGGGGAAGGAGGTTATGTCCGTCGGGGGGGGGGGTGGCAAGCAGAAGGAGCAGCCTCTGTCCTGCCTGGGTGACCTCAGGCATGTGCCTTCCTCCTCAGTAAAACTGACCAGAGAGAGTGCTGTTCACATGGCTGTGGTATGGCTATGCTGGGGAGGGGGCTGTCTCTTACATGTGGGTGCTGAACAGTCTGACTTTTGCCTGCCGACTAGGACTTGGAAATGGCCAGTCTGAGGTGGGACAAGGCCCGCCCCCCCCCCCCCCCCCCCCCCCCGCGCCGGCCCCCCCCCCCCCCCCCCCCCCCACCCGGCCCAGGAAAGGGCCGGGGGGGGGGGGGCCCCCCCCCCCCCCCCCCCCCCCGCCCCGTGTGTCAGGACCAATGATCTCTCCTTTTCCTTCTCCCTCCAATGCTCCCTAGGCCTTAAGTAACCAGCAGAAGGCAGTGCTGATGAGTGAGCGAGTGCTGGGAATCGAGCACCCCAACACCATCCAGGAATATGTGAGTGACGGTATCCAGAGGCGGCGTCTGCCTTGGGGGGTGGGCAGGAGGAGGAGGTGGGGCCGGGGAGTCTTCTGGCCTCTTCAAACATAGGCCCAAGTCTGTGGTTCCCAGCTTTGGCCAAGGCACCAGACTTCTCTTGACTTGGGAGGGGGCTGTCGGTCAGTTGATGCATTTCTTAGATTTGCGTAGGGAAGGGGCAGACACACGCCTGTGTGTGTAAAAACAGAAACCCAGTATTTTTCATTTAAAGAATGAAGGGGGTTGGGCTGATGGCCTGAGTTGGTGCCCCCACAGGCTGTGAGCTGGGGGTGCACGGATTGGGGGTAGTGCTGACCCTGGTCCTCCGTCTCCCCAGATGCACCTGGCTCTCTACTGCTTCGCCAGCAGCCAGTTGTCCACAGCCTTGAGCCTGCTCTACCGTGCCCGCTACCTTCTGCTCTTGGTCTTTGGGGAGGACCATCCGGAAATGGCTCTGCTGGATGTGAGTGTACAGGGCAGGTGCTGGGGCAGGGGGGCCTGGGAGGCAGCGCCTGGCCCCTGCCTCATGCCTGGCTCCTCCCCAGAACAACATTGGCCTGGTACTGCACGGGGTCATGGAGTATGAGCTGGCACTGCGCTTCCTGGAGAATGCTCTGAGCATCAACGCCAAGTACCACGGGGCCAAGTCCCTCAAGGTGGCCCTCAGGTAGGGAGGGACCCCTCCCCAATTCTCTGCTCCTTTCCTCCCATCTCCTGCCCAGGCAGCACCGTCCCCTCCCCTCAGTCGGCGGTGTCTTCTGAACTCTCAACCTGCTCAGGTCTCTGCCTTTCTTCCTCGGGACTCTGGTCCCTCTTCCACAAGAAGACTCCCAAGGGAAAAACAGTCCACGCTTAGACTGCCCCCCAATAGAATGGATGATCCTTGAGGGCAGAGCCTGTTGGCCATTTGTCCTCGCAGCCCGAGGGCCTCCCATGGTGCCTTGCAGGGGGTCTGAGTTGGTAAATGCATTTCTCCAGTCCAGAGAGAGCACACTTTTGTGTTGCTTGGTCCTTGAGGAGATGAGTGATAGACAACAGCTTATAGGAGGCAGAGTCAGAAGGGTTCTCAGAGCCCTGGCCACCCTGAACGAGACTCCCCGGGATGTGATTGCTGCCATTGGCACTCCAGTTCCACTTGGGGCTGACTGCTGGGATGTGGGAGTCAGGACCTCCTGAGGACAGTCCTGAAGCTAGGGATGCTTCAGTGCAGGGCAGGCCCCAAGAGCCTTTCCCTTAGATTGTGAAATAGCTCCTCCTCCACCTCGTCCCCCATGGAATCCCTGGGCAGAGTGGAGGCGGTGTTACCTACCTCTAGACTGGGCCTGGGCTTTCCCTCATCTGGAAAGGAGACCTCTGTCTCCTGGGACTGCGGGGCAGGAGGTGGAGTCTCCCCCTCCATGGCTCCTGTTTGCCTCCACAGTCACCACCTGGTGGCCCGGGTCTATGAGAGCAAAGCCGAATTCCGATCAGCCCTGCAGCATGAGAAGGAGGGTTACACCATCTATAAGAGCCAGGTGAGGAAGCTGTCATGGCTCCCATGGCTGGCGGTGGGGACGGCAGGCTGGTGACAGGCCGGCGCTCAGGCCCCCTGACACTTTCTCTCTGCAGCTCGGAGAGAACCATGAGAAGACCAGGGAGAGCTCAGACTACCTGAAGTGCCTCACCCAGCAGGCCGTGGCCCTGCAGCGCACCATGAACGAAATCTACCGCAATGGCTCCAGTGCCAACATCGTGCCCCTCAAGGTACCCGGGCCCCACCCTGGCTGGGGCAGTGGGCCTGCCCGAGGTCCCTGGTCTCACGAGTGCCCTTGTCCATCCCTAGGTCACAGCCCCCAGCATGGCCAGTGTCCTGGAGCAGCTTCACATCATTAACGGCATCCTCTTCATTCCGCTCAGGTCAGTTCGAGGTTGAGGGGAGGACTGAGAGTCCCCTCAGGGAGCCTGGGGGTGGGAGAGGGAGAGGGGCCTCTCTGCCCTCTGAAACAGGATATGGAGCTTAGTTTAGTCTTTTCTTGATGACTGTCAGGAGCTTGGAAAGCAAGTCCACTCTGGGCACATGGAGGTGTCGCAGGCTGTTGGCCCTACCCTGAATGCCCCAGATTGCTGGGCTCGGGGCAGACTCCCTGCTGTCAGCCCAACTTCCCATCTGCTCATCATGGCAGGTCTTCAGACAGCACCTGAAAGGAGTGGAGCTCTTCGGGAGTGCGCTAAAAGGTGGCCTCCCAGGTCCCTTCATTTGGGAGATCTTTGAAACTGCTCAGTGCCAGCCTAGAACAGTCTTTCCCATTTGTTGTGGCCCAGGGAACCACATAAACAAACTTTATCATCCAGTTTCAGAGTTGGAAGGAACTTTGCAGTCCAGCTCCTTCCCTGAAGCCAGCTAGCAAGAATCACTTTGCAAGTGGGCTTCTCCTTAGGGATCTACGTTGGGGGGGGCAGCCCATTCCTTTGTATTTTTCAGCCAACAGAAATTTCTCCCCCTTCCATTCCTTTCAGTTGACAGTGAAAGAATAACAAAACTCATTTTGCAAATGTGTAGTCAAGCAGAAAACATTTTCTGCATTGACCCTGCCTAAGAACACATACTTCTCATTCTCTGTGAGGAGGTGGGTAGCTTGTCATGAGCCTTCTGGAACTGGAGTTGGTCATTAGACCCATCAGAGCTCCTTATGGTCTTTGTCCTGTTGTCCTGGTTCTGCTCACTTCACTGCAGCAGTTGATACAAGTCTTCTCAGGTTTCTCTGACCACCCTGCCCCCTCACACACACACATCATTTCTTCCAGCACAGTAGTATCCATCACATTCATAGGCCATGACTTGTCCAGCCATTCCTCAGTTGATGCCTTCCCTAATTGTTGAGTTCTTGTGTGAAATTTTTTCTCCCTGGTATCTTCATTCTGACTTGACAGGAATGTCCAAGGTCCTGGGGATGTTTAGAGGAACCCCCTGGGGGGATGTGAGGGATTGGCTTTCCCTCAGCAGGCCCTAGAGGCCAGGGCAGAACCAAGGAGTGGTAGGCACTGCTGAGCATTCTGTTCTCTCTCCTTTGTGGCCAGGGCCCCGCTGGCCCCAGACACCCATCTTTGTCTTCAGAATATCCCTTCAGCCTCCTCCTGGGGAGCTGGTGTTTGGTATCCGAGGTGTATGTCTCATTAGCTGGAGCCATCAGGAATTTCCCTGCAGTGCCATCTCCCACCCTCCACCCCCCTTTTTTCCCCCCTCCTTGAACATCTCTCCTCTATTAAGCTGCCTTTCCCTTAGAGAATTTAGTCTGGCCATGGGCTTTTCCCATCTAAGTCCACAGATTAAATCTGGCTAAGTTTTACTGTTTTCAGAGCTGGAACGAGGACCATAGGAGTCGTCTTTGTGTTTAACCTTCCCTGGGGTGACTTTGCCTCCTTTTCCTTTCTTCACTAAACTCTAACATGACAAAGTTCCGGCCCTTTTTGTTGGCCGGAAGTAGATTTTATTACAACTGTATGTAAAGTAAGGGAAAATGAGACTTGAGTGTGTCTTCTGACATAAGATGCCCAAGTTTCTGGGAATGTACGTTGTGGCATATTTTGGCTTTTTAAAGTCTCCTTCTGGGTTCTCAGCTGTGTTCTGGATAGGGGGGATCATGAGAGAAGGAGTCTCTGGATAAGTGAAATGAGTGTCCCTGTAAATCACCCCTCAAGCTGTTAGCACAGTGTCTGATGCAAGAAAGTTAAATACCAAGAGGGTAACGAAATTGAGTCTGCATTTCTATGAGGACCTGGGTCTGAGTCTCAGCTCCTCTAGCCAGCTCCATGACCTTGGTTGGCCAAGTTCTTTCCTTTTCCTGGGCCTCTATTAGAACTTTAAATCCTGTGCCTTCGTGAAGCAGAGCATACCATAGCAAGTGTGAGGGAGGTGACAGGGGGCTGGGGTTGGGCAGAAGATCCCCAGTTCCCTCTCTCTGACCAAGCGTGTCCCCCCTACCAACCCTCCTCCCCAGCCAAAAAGATCTGGAGAACCTGAAGGCCGAGGTGGTGCGGAGGCACCAGCTTCAAGAAACGAGCAAGGCCACCGTGCGGGATTCAGATGCTGCTGCTGCCGCTGCCGCCGCTGCCGCCGCTACCGCCGCTGAGTCTCGAGAGGAGGCAGAGTCTAGCCTTTTGCCTGGGGACGATTCCCCCACCTTGAGCTCAGTATGATGTTTCTAGGGGCAGAGAGGGAGAAACTGGACACTCGCCCCCCCAATGATTCACAGAGGGCAGGTATACACCATGCCCTGCTGACTGGGGAAGGGGTCACATCCCCTTACTCCTGAGCACCTTGGCCCCCAACAAAAATGTTCTTGCACTGGTACAATTAATACACAATGCAAAGTCCTTCTCGGAGACCTATAATTGGATGGAGCGTGTGAGCATGTAGCCGCTGGCCAGGGACAGTAGGTGCCAAGAGCAGCCTCTGTTCCCTCCCTTCTCCCCATGTATTATTGATCAGTCCATTTCTCATGTGTACATAGCCCCAGCTTATTTCCCCAAATGGACTCTGTGGAGATGAGATTGTTTCTCAGGTCATTTGTATGCTTGACATAAGGACGCTGCTGCTACTTCTGTTGCCGCTGTCACCACCACTTCCTAAGGGTCTGCCTGCCCTCAGCCTGGGCATCCAGGTTCCAAGCCAAAATGAGGGGACTTTCCTTCTCCACTGTCCTCACATGCCACCCTGGAGGGGATGGAGCATGCCCTGGTGTGTGGCTCGCATCCCCCAGGGCACCTTTGGGTCTGGGAGGGCCAGGGCTAACGTTAGCTTTTCTGCTTTAGGAAAGAGCCATCGCTGCCTCTGCAGCATTGTGTCGTCGTGACCATTGCCACAGGGGGTCCTAGTTCCCGCTTAGTGGGCCTAGTTGGGGGGAGGGGGGTGTTGTCTCTGTGATGTCTCTGCTGGGCCCCTTTGCCCACTGCCGCCCATCTGTCTGTCCGTAGTGCCTCATGTGGTGCTGAGGACTGTCTCTGCGCCCTGGCTCAAATACGCACAGTCCCATTCCTGCCCAACCCCCTCCCAAGCTTCTGAGCTGAGCACCCCCCCTTTCTCCAACTCCAGGTCCTCCTCTGGGACAAAGAGTAGGGGGAACACCAGGGGAGGGGAGGCTTTCAACGTGAATGTATTTTTTCTTCCTCCCCTGTCTCTTTGTCCTAAGCTGTTTGATGAATAGTACGGGGAAGGTGAGATTTACTGGGGGAGGGGAGAACCCCAGGAGGGAACCAGCGTGGAATCATGAGTGGAGAAATCAAACCCCCTCCCCCCCAAAAAAGGAACCTTTTTTAAAAAATTGTGTTATGTTGCTCATCTTGGGAGTCCTTTCTGTCTCTTGCTGATCATGGTCACTACTGAGGATGTTAATGCTGGGACACAGGCGGGGGATGGGGCCTGCTGGAGAGGTTGCCACTGTTTTTCCCAAGTGGGCTGTTTGTTGGCTTACTACAGGGAGCAGGGAAGAATGACCTCTACGCTGGGTGTGTATGTTAAGAGGGTGCGTGGCCTAGGATGTGAAATGCCACCTTCTACCCCTCACTTGAAGCCCTCGGGCCAAGGGTCTTAAGAGGTCCAGTCCATCCAACTGCCTTGTTTCAAAAAGTGTAGAGTGAGTGTGAGCGAGAAAGTGAGTGTGAGCGCGTCCCCACAGGCTGATCAAGAACTTGGTTTTCTTGTTTTTAGACCATCACATCTTCGTTTCACATTGGAATAAAGTGAATTTTTGAAACCTGCTGCCCCTGCCTCAGCACTGTGCTTTGTAAATTATGGGAGGGACAGGTCAAGGATGCTTCAGAGCCTCTGGGTTCTCTCCAGACTCACTGACCTGGCAACTAGCTCCTTTTGCTACTCTTAAAGACTGGGAATAGCTGTGGGTGGGGAGGCAGGACACCTGTGACCTCAAACAAGTCACTTCAACTCTCTGGGCCTTACTCAGTGGCCTCTTCCGACGTTTTGTTGTCCAGTGAGAACTGCAGCCGGAGCCAACGTGGCTGGACGTAGAATGAGGGAGGTGAGGCTTGTATTTGAGTTGCTTTGAGGTCTCCCAAGTTTTCATCGTGCCCTCCATTCTTGATTAAAATCTCTGGAGTAATTTCCTCTGGGTATGTGTAAGGGGCAGACTTGGGCTTCAAAAAAGCATTGGGACGCCGTGAAGGTAGGGCATGAGTGACTGGTGCACTAAACCATGTCTTTTTGAGGTCCTTGGTGACCCCAAGAAGTAGTACTGAGTAGAAGCTTCTGAAGAGGAAAGAACGGGGGCGGGGAAAGGAATGGAAGAACTAGCATGTTTCACCAAGAAGGGAAGAGAAGCTGAGTGACCAAGATGGGAGACCCTTTGCATGACAGCCCAAGCCTTAACACTGCTGCTGGCTAGTCTGTCCTTTGGAGAAGTTTCTGTCAATAATTGCTTTGTTAAGTCTTAGAAACCTGAGAGCACTCAAGGGGCTAGTTAACTTTGTGAGTCCTCAGTGACTTTTTTTTCCTTAGGTCCCCTCCTCCCTCCATTACTTTGGGATAGAAGACATTCATAAGTTTGTTTTTTCATAGTTTCAATGATTTACATACCAACATTTTCATCTTGTGCCTTTTTTTAAACTTTTAGGAAGCAAGCCTTTCACTGGATCCCATTTGCTTTTGGAATGGCCATCTGCCATTTTAAATGGCATTTTTCCAACACGTTAGAAGAAACCACCAAAACACACATTTTCCTTAAGTTACAAGAGTGGAGATAACTCCACTATCTTCTGGGGTATGTGCTCTGGTCTAAGGTCTGGACAATTTCTTGTGCTCAACACTAAAAGCACATGCACTGAGAAGATGCTAGATATTTCAGTCCTAATTCTGATCTTGGTCCAGTAATTTTAAATTAGGCTTTCAGTTTACAAAACTTTCCTCGCAACTCTTCTACGTTCTTTATTTTGAGATGAGGAGACAGAGTCAATGAAGCCGCAATCAAAATCTAGGCCTTAATGGTAGAACTTCACTTTGCACCATCCACCCTCTTCACTCACTTTCTCCTTCCTGGTCCACGTTTTCCTCGTGAACAGTTGAATGAGCTGTTCAGGTCCCTCTAGTACTATGTTCCCACCAGCCTAATCTTAAGAGTTTAGGGACACAACTACAACATGTTCCAGCCAGAGGGTGGCAGCAAAGAGTCAGGAAGAGCAGTGATTCCAATGGAGATGGTGCAATTTAAGTGGTTTCCCCAGATCTGGTGATTCTGAGGATTTCTGGGTGAGACCAATTAATATAATTCAATCCTAATTAGCACTTCCAGCAAATAGGGGGTTGGAAAGTGGAGAGAAGATGCCAGGATGGTTATCAGGTTCTTCCATGGATGTTGTGGAACACAGTCAAAGGAAACCAAGGCTAGCCAAAAATATCAGGAGACTCAATTTAATTCCTTGATTCCACAGCAAAAATATGATTTTTGGAAGGCAAAAAAATGCTTTCCATCTGAGGACAGGAATAGGGAAGGAGAAGAGGTAATGAAAGAAGATGGGGATGTCCGTGACTGCTAAGTCTGCTACCGAAAAGCATTTGAAGTCTCCATCAAAATCCACCAAAATATCTGCCCCCCACAGGCACTCTCAAACAACATTCTGCACCACTATACTTACAAATAAATCAGTAAAGTTCTCATCTAGGGGGGCCTAGAGATACTGCATTGCACAATGTCCAAACAAAGAATTTACACTGAAAGATTTACACTGAAAAGCATTTTGGTGGGTAGATGTCAGAGGTTTCTCCTGAGGACTTGCCCCCTTTATCTTCATATTATCAGTATTTCTCTTAATATCCTTTCTTGGCGTCAGCTTTCTAGCTTCCAACGGTTCTTGGTTTGCCTGTATCAGGGAGTAAAGGAAGCTACTGTGTTTTTAACTTGGTTACTTACACCCCAGAAAGATCAGCTCATTGGGGATGCAATAGCTACCCGCCTGAAAAATATGGTGACTGAAGGGGTCTGAGTCAATCTTAGGCTATTTCCCTGCAATCCCACCTGGATCCGAAACAGTGCTGGTTTGTTTAGCTGCCTTTTCCTCCTGGTTAGAACTGGGTACGTGGACAGGGTCTGCAAAAGCATCACAAGGACTTTAAAAGGGCTCAGCAGGCCACAGCCACAATGAGCTCAGAACAAATGGAGCACAAGATCAACTCCTAAAAAGTCTCGTAAAAACAATACTCTGAGGATGCTCAACACATCTACCACTTCCTACAGCGTCCTGATCAAAGATCAGATTGCTGGGTTGTTGTGGGAAATTCTAAGAATGAGGTTTTTTTTTAACCTTTTAATTCTGCGTACAAGGAGACAAAAAAAAAAAAAGCACACCTAGTTTTATATGCATTTAATAGTTTACCAATTGGTACAATAAGATTTTTAATATGCAGAAAACATGAATAAATTTTGTTTTACACAGTCTGAGCGCAACAAATCTTACTGTAAAACACAGAGCAATATTATATACATTCCTTTACTGATTTTTTAAAAATGGTGTCATTATCTTCAGTCTGGGGAACTGTTTTCTCCAATTATAACCTCGCCATCGTTCTTATGAAATCAATGCTTGCCTTCATGTCAGTGTCAGGATCAACTTCTATTTAGCTTCAAGATTTTTTTCTAACTTATCTTCAGAATGCGCTTGGGTGTCTGAAGGATAGGCAGGACAAGAAAGCAGCTACTTACATGATACAGTGGAAAGATAAAAAGGCCAGTTCAATCCAGTCGTGACTTGTAAATCCATTTACCCCCCCCCTTCCACCCCCCAAAAAAGGTTTTCTCCCCAACAATTTTGTACACATTGGCTTCTCTACCAGGAGAGTCTTCTTTGTGTCAGCTATTTTAATTCACACATTGGACTTATGTACAGCTGGACAGAAAATACGTAGCCATTTTAAGTGCCTTTTTCCTTCATTCAATTCAGCAATTAATTTTTTTTAGTTTAAGGATTATCAAGCCACCACTGTCAA